AATATGACTTATAGTCACTATAACATGCTTTATAGACACCAGATTATTCATGATCAAAGATATGATCTTAAATGATTTTAGCCCATTATATGTCCTACTAGATATTTTCATATCAAAACTCATTTAATATCATATAATTTGATCATATAAACACATATTGCATCACATTTTAATAATTAAAGTATAAGTGACCTCATGTTAGAATTGCACAATTTTATATAGTGGTTGATAATATAAACTACCACGATTTTAAAAACTAGACCAAAGATGGAACTGGAAAAGAGAGAGGTTTAAGTTTCAATGATTTGATCGAAATTGAATCGGGGTCGAATCAGATGATGTAATAAATATTAAAAATATTTAAATACTATTTTCAACAATATGATAGCCAATAATTTTATGTGTGTTTATATATACATGTGATGAATCTTAAAGTTAAAGCTATTTTAAACAACAAAAATTTTACCCCATTACATATATAATTCATTTTCTACTGTATGATTAAATTTGTATTGTATAATACATGTAAGATTCTATATTATTTGATCATTAACTAAATAAATAATCATTTAAAATGAATTTTAAAAAACTTCATATTGTATATTTCATGTTATATATACATACAACTTTATTTCTTACTATTTACATACAGTGGCGGAGCCAGAAAATGTATTTAGGTGGAGCCTAAATTATTATTATTTTTTTATTCTCCTTCAAATTTTTACTTTCGGACTTGTGATCAAAATAGTCAGTTTTAAAAATGATAAAACTTTAATAGTGAATTAGTTTATTTTTTTTTCTTCATAAAACGACTTCCAATCATCAAATCACTTGATTAATGCTAGAATGGGTTCAATATATTAACTAAATACGTGATATTAAAAATCTCATTGCACAAAAACAAATCATAAAATCTCTTTAAGATCAAATCAATACATGATTAATAAGCTAATATAAACCTAGAAAAAAAGTAAATGAATAGAAAATTAAATTGGGAGTGATTTGAATGGACAGTCGATCTTAAATCTCTTGACCGTGAATCATTTATTGGACATTTAAATGTCTTAGTCATATCAGAATTCAACGATCTTGGGCTCGTTGGATTTGTCTTGTCTAGGTGCTCAATTCGACTATAAGCATGTCATGTTTGGAAACCTTTTGATAATCCAAATTATGGTTTAAACCTTCTAAATATGCTTTGAGTCTTTGATTTGGAGTCATTTGGGATCGGATTGAGTCGAATTTGGTGCCGTTGGGTTCGCATTTTCTAGATGTTCAGTTCAATAGTAAGTTTGCTAAAATCGAAGCTCATATGATCTCCGATTTAATTTTTGAAGTTTTCAACTTCATTTTATCTCTCTCACCAGAGTTGGGGCAACATAAACTTTTACAAGAAAAGACCAATAATCATTCATTTCTCATGTGGCTAGTGCTACTTAGCAGCTTTTCTGGTCTATACATAACAAATTTTTATTAGGTGCGGAGTTCGGACGCAGCTTTGTGTACACCTGCTATGTACATGTGGATATTATTTTACATTTCTTATTTAATTTTTTTTCCAACTTGTCTGATCCGGTCTAGAACAAATCATGTTCAAAATTTAGGGCTGAGCATTGGCACTCTTTTTTTAAATGAAATACCGCGAGAACATCATATTTTTAGGATTTTAGCTCAAAAAACATTTCATAGCTACTGAGAAAAAAAAAATGAGGGGAAACTGATGAAGATGAATATTGGTTTGGAGGAGGTCAAGGCGATAAAGATGAAGACTAGTTTGTAGGAGGTTAAGACGATTAAGATATGGACTGGTCTGGAGGAGGTCAAGGCAATGAAGATAAACATTTGTATGGAGGAGGAGAAGCTGATGAATATGAAGACTGGTCTGGATAAAAGAAAAGTCTATGAGATGAAGATTTGTTAGGAGGAGGAGAAGCCGATAAAGATGAAAATTAGTTTGAAGGAAAAGTAGATGAAGAAATGATGAATAATAGCTTTTTTTTTGCACACTTAGGGAATATGTAATTTTGAAGTATTATTTGTATATTGATTGTTTTGCTGTGCACTTAAGGGGAATATGAAGATGCTTTGTTTATTGATGTTCTTTTCCATTTCAGATGGCTATTGAAAAAAACACCACTAATAATATAGCACCACATTCTTAAATAAAGGATGTTATGTACCAATGTGTATATGTTATATTGTTTGTGATATTGAAATTTTGACGTGCATTAGTAGAAATTTTGATTAAACTGAAAATGTGCTATGCACCACTACATTCGTTTATGTGATGTTTTGTTTATTTTGATATTATAAATCTCAGTACCTGTAAAGGCTGTTTTCCTCCCAGGATCGTTCGGGACGAAGTGGATCGTCCCGGGACGATCTGTACATATTGTGAAGAAATCTGCATGTTCGCCTGTACGAACCTGGAACAATCGGGACGAACCGTCGGGACGAACTGAACCCGAGAGTTTCATCCCGGGACGACGAAATTGGCATTTAATTTCGTCTGGACGATCTGGTCCAGAGGAGATCGTCCCAGGACGATCGGGAACATCGTCCGGGACGATCCTGCTTAATAAATATCCGATTTAAGTCATTTTGAAGAGAGAGAAAGTCCAGGAGAGAGAAAATCGAAGGGAAAAGAAGAAAAGTTGATTTTTTGGCGACTTTCGTCCGTCGCCGTAGTTGGGAAAGTTGATCGACTCGAGGTAAGGCACATTACATCTTTCTCAATTTTCAGAAACGTGAATTTTGACGATTTTTCTGTTCCGGATTTTGTTTCCGTTAGCGAATTTCTGGTATTATTTTCTTCTGATAAAGGTTTTACCGCGTAACTTTTGGTATGTTTTTTAGATGATAATTATGCACGTTTTGGATATTTTCTGAAAGATTTTTACAAAATATTTTGAATTCTGCGGCATTTTAATTGAATTGCAAGTTATCAGGATGTTGAAAAATGTTATGTCAGTACAATGAAAGTCTTATAATGTTGTTGTAAATATTCTGTGGTAATTTGATAAATTTCTGAATCTGTGAATTTTGTGTAAATTCCTTATATTGCCGTTATGCCGCTGATTTTTAGTACGAATTCTGAATTGATACATTGAATGAATTAAAGTGTTTGTATGCTATTAGAAGGGAGTTATAAGGGGCCAGTATCCTTTGAGATTCTGTATGTGTCAGGGAAATCTGAAATGAGCTCTGAAATATGAAAATAAGTTATGTTCTGAAAATTCCGAATATCTGTTCTGTTTTGTTCTGGTGCTATAAGCACAAAGGGAGGCATAAGGGGCTAGAATCCGTTGAGATTCTGTCAATGGCTGGGAAGGGAGGTTTAATGGGTCAGAATCCGTTGAGATTCTGTCAGGGTCAGGGAATCTGATATGAATGTGATTTTATCTGATTTCTGATTTATGTATGATTCTGGTTATTCCGTACGATTCTGTCTGCTCTATGACATGAAAGCTTTATGATATCTGTTCTGAACTCCGATTCGACATGACTTCAGTTTTCTGTATCAGTTGTTTGATTTATGTTAATCAAGTATCTGTTCTGTCTGTTCTATGATTTCCGCACGGCTATTTTTTGATGTGAATTTCTGACTATTTTGATTGGTGAGTGATGTCTTGCTGAGCTGTTAGCTCATCCTTGTTTTCTACGTGATTTTCAGGTTCTGGGAAAGGGAAGGAGGTCTTGGACTAGAAGTTCTGTGTTTGATCTGAGATTATGTATTTTGTACTTTTGATTTTGTACAGTCATGGTTTTTCTGTTTCTGTTCTGTTCTTTCTGTCTATAGCCATGCACTGTATCTGTTTATGATTATTTTGATGAAAGAAAAGATAGGTGAACTGTTATGTATTTGGATGCTTATAGTAGCTCTGTGTTTTTCTGTCTATTTAATATTTGGAAGAAAGTCTGAAGCAAATTCTAAAGCTAGATCCTGAATTTTCAATGGTTGTGTCGCGGCCCGATGCGAGCGGGATCCGTCTCGATCAGGTTGGGTTGTGACAGTACCAATGCTCGGTACCGCTCGATATAAATGCTCGGTACCACTCAGTACCAATGCTCAGTACCGCTAGTACCGCTCGGTATGCTCGTTAACGCTCGGTACTGCTCGATTCCTCTCAATAAGCAATACTAAATAACTATGTATTTCTTAATCAAATTTGTTACATGTAAATTAATATGATTTATACACAACGATACTGAACATAATTTTTCCCTTAATATCAATTCAATATTTATATGTATAAACTCTCAATCAATGCTCGGTACCGCTCGATATCGAAACTCGGTACCTCTCGGTATAGCTCTGTACTAGTCGATACCTCTCTCCAACGCTCAGTATCGAAACTCGGTACCTCTCGGTACCGTAACTTGGTATCGCTCGGTACTGGTTTGTAATGGTCGATACCTCTCTGCAGCACTCGGTACCCTACTCAGAACTTATCGGTACCAATGTTAGTTCTCTTCCTCATTCAATTATGATTATGTTTTTTACTAGTTTGTATTGAGTGGTACTTAGCAGTACCGAGTGTTCATTCTATGTACCGAGAAGCGGCACCAAGAAGCTAGTACATATAAACAAGCTGAAAAAGCTTTAAAGTTTATGTAATTTATATTAGTGAAAAAGATGAGGAAACTTTAAAATGAACTGAAATATCACTAAAAATCATGGAGTACAAACAATTGCGCTTTTAATACTGTAAATCATGGAATACAAACGACTTACAAACTTTGAAAACAAACATAACTTCAAAATTACTCTTACAATAACCCTAACATATTCCCTAAATATACATAAAAAAACTATCATTCCCCCAACCTATTCTTTCAACTTTAGTTTGTATAGCATCATCTTCATCCACATTTTCTCATTTCTTTTTTCTGAGCCGATGTGAAAATATGTTTTGAACTGAAATTTTAAAAATTATGAAAGTTTGGCGATATTTCGTTTAAAAAAAAACGTCAACTCAAAATTCTAAATTAAACCACTTGGGACATTGGACTCTGGACGATCGAAAAAAAGTTCCTCGTCCTCTTCCATTCGTCAATGTTCGTCATGATGGCCTCAGGAGCCGCAGCAGCGCGCAGCACTGGCGTCCTCTTTGCCCTCAATTCATCAAATACCTACAATGCACGATGGACTCGAGAACAACCACTTTCAATACAGCTAATCCACAAAGCTCATTCTTCTTTTTCTTCCCCACTTTACCTCACCCACTGTTATCCCGATGAAAAACCAGGCAGCCATCAGTCCACCTCCGAACAATCTTCAGATCAAGATAGTACTTCTATTGCATATCCCAATTCTCAGAAACCCTTCAAAGCATCTGGCAAAGAGCTTCCGCTGTCTCCCTCTTCTTTCTCCCGCGGTCTCGTGTTTGACCTAGGTCTCAACCAGTCATGGGACGGCCATGATGTCGGATCACCAGTCGTCAAGCGCTATGTCAGTGACGAAAAGGAACGCTGGTTCATGTGGTACCATGGCGATGACGCCATCGGGCTAGCACTATCTAACAATGGAATCCACTGGGAGAGGGGGACCGGCGCTGTCGAATCCGCCGCCGACGCTGGCGAGGTCATGCGCCGGAGCACCGATTGGTGGGCGTTCGATACGCATTCCGTTCGACCCTCTGATGTTCTCATCATGTCGAGCTCCAAGCTCAGAGCTTCCAACGCCGTTTACTGGCTCTACTACACCGGGTTCGGGCCCGAAAAGTCGCTTCCAGGTCTAGCGATGAGCCAGGACGGGCGCCACTGGGCAAGGATCGAAGGAGAGCACCATAGTGGCGCGCTATTGGATGTCGGAGCCGCTGGTCAGTGGGATTCAGCCTTTATAGCGTCGCCCAAGGTTGTCTACCACGGTAGGAATGATTTTAGAATGTACTATCACTCGCTTGATGAACAATCAGGGGAGTATGCGATCGGCGTTGCGAGGTCAAGAGATGGGATGAAGTGGGTGAAGCTTGGGAAGGTTTTGGCGGGCAGTGGAGTTGCTGGAAGTTTTGATGAGGCTGGTGTTCTGCACGGGCACGTGGTGAGGGATAAAGAAGGTGGCGGGTACTTGATGGCATATGAAGGAGTGGCGATTGATGGGCGTAGGAGTATTGGGATGGTGGCATCCGGCGATGGGTTGAATGGTTGGCGGCGGTGCAGTGGGAAGATGGTATTGATGCCTGATATGGATGGGTGGGACTGTGAAGGGGTAGGAGAGCCCTACTTGGTGCCAATGGATGAACAAGAGGGGTCGAGGCTTTATTACAGGGGAGTTGGGAGTAGTGAGAGGGCTGGAATTGGGTTGGCTGTTTGTCAAACTAAACGAATGAGCAAATTTGATAGATGGTCAGGGTTTCAGTTATGATTGAGATCAAACAGTTCATTTTCATCTTTCCATATAGAAGAGTAATATGATTTTTTAGTTATGTAATGGTATGAACGGCCTCTCTTTCTTTTTAGTGGTGTTTCTATTTTTTTATTAACTTACGCATGTATATTCTAAAATGTATTACTATCATTATCTCATTATTAGGAGATAGTCTCTCATCATTTATTTATTTTAATACCTCCATTCTTCAATGTATATATATAGATATAGCTTGTATTTAGTTTTATAGATAGATTACAGAATATGGAGATTCAATTTCTTTACCATTCTCCTTCTTTCCTAACTCAGTTGCTGAGCGAGGTCCTTTCTAATCTTGCTTCTGCTGAAGTCTGTCTTCCTCTACAGTCACATGCCTTGCCACTCTTCTTTCATACCTCCGCAGAAACCATTTCATTTACCCTACAGTTCTCACCTGCATTGCCTATTGAGTTCCCCCATATTGCCGCCGCCGCTCACTACAATCACCTATTAACTTCAAACCTTTAGTTATCACAACTACTTGTTGCTGTTGCCACTACTTTCTCTCAATTAGACCAAACAAATAGAAATTTGTTATCACTTCATTTGAGATCATGTAGCTTGAGTTATATAATTTGTTAGCACATATTATCTTCACACCAATATTTTCACGAATCCCTTAGTTGAGGATTGATTTTGTTCACTTGGATGTCATTTAGGTATCTTTTGATCGTGAATATTATTGAACAAAATCTCCTTAAAGATGTCATTAAATTATAGATGCCAAAAGAAAAAAAAAAGGACTTAATGGGCACCTGTAAATCCTGTTGTATGAATTTGTTGTTTTACATGAGGGATACAGTGTTGTATTGCAGATGAAGCTGACTATGAAAATGGATGATTTTGGTAGTTTTATGATTCCCTGCAAAATTGGAAGTGAGCATTTCGAAAATGCGCTTTGTTATTTTGGTGCGATTATACATTTGATGTCATTATCTATTTACGAGTAACTGAGATATGTGGAACCTACCACAATATCATTGCAGCTAGCTGATATTTAAATGAAGTACCTTGAGGGAATTGTGGAAGATGTACTGATTAAGGTCGACAAGTTTATATTCCCACCAAACTTCATTGTTTTAGACTTGGACGACGGAGATCCCAAGTGCTGGCTTATTTTGGGTCGATTGTTACTCGCAACATTGAGAGCTCAAGCAGACATTTTGATGGGACTATTACAACTGAGAGCACAAGTAGAAAAATTGGTATTCAAAGTTTATGAAGATGCAAACAAAACAACAAATGAAGAACTACCATTGCGCATTCACTAAAAAGTCAGAGGTATGTCTTGTTCCGGTTGTCAAAGAACTTTATGCCAATGCTAAGGACCATGTTACAGACATTGCTTTTGCTTTATGAATAATTCGCTTTACAAGCTGTGCAATATAGAAAACGATGTACTTTTTGACCATTTCGGGTATAAGATGCAAGTTTGCGTGAAGTTGTGATTGTGAATTTTCTTCCTTTGGGTCTTACTAATGTTTCCAGGGCCAGACACATTTCTATCTCAGCAAGGTCGCTATGAAGTCTTCACCTGAGTGATGTCACGAAGGAGAGAGGCCTGCTAAACTTTGCAATACAAAACCACCTCTCCCTCAATGTCAGTAGATTTATTCATTCCAACATCCTCAAGGCCACCGATTATTGATCTATGGCTTGTGCCTATAGGCTGGCTACCTTATAGTGCAAGAGAGGAGGTGTTGCATCCAAAATCTGCAATCATGCTTTTAAAAATTCAGCAAATGGAGTCCATGCCGTAGCACAATAGTAAGTTCATGAAGGAGATTTACTAGATGTATCATCCTCCCTGGAAGCCTAGAAACCTTGTCGCTATTCAATTTGAGGGACATTTTGCTGCTGGAAGGAACTTTTTAGGGCATAAGTGGTCAGTTGTATTGATTTGATATTAATTGCAAATCAAATTAGATTTAATTAAATCAGACTTAGTTTGAAAAGCTGTGATATTGTATTAAATGGAGTATTTATTATTTCCCTTTGTTGTTGATTTGATTAGGACTTAAATTAGGAAGTTGTTTCCTAATTTCTAGTGTCTCCAATCTATAAATAGAATTCTAGGGGCTGCTGTTGAGAGTAAGAGAGAGCTCATTGTAATTTTAATTTCTCCAATTTAGTGAAATCATCATCCCCTCCCCGTGGACGTAGGCATTTTCACCGAACCACTTAAATTGCAGTGTTTTGTGCTTGTTTGTGTTTGATTTAGTTTTTAATTCCGTTGCAAACTCAATAAATTGGTATCAGAGCCAGATTTTAGTGGGATTTCCGATGGCAATGTGAAGAAGAAAGGATTTCTATTCTTATGGTTCGTCTAGATGGAGGATCAGAGTCTGATTGGTGTAATTTCGGCTACGTGAGACAGTTGTAATTTGGTGGAGGCTATGAGATTTGGTGGAGCCATGGATACATCCACCTCATTGGTGGATAAGGTGTCAATTCATTAGGTGGTTGCATATCCCGTTAAAATTGACGTAACAAAATTTGATGGAAAAGAGAACTTTGACATGTGGCGATGTGAGGTGATGTATGCGTTGTATTATTTGAATCTAGAGTAAATTCTGGAGAGCGATGAACGTCTTAAGGAGATTTAAGAGAGAGATTGGCTCAAGATGAACAAAAGCGCTTGCGGCTTAATCAGAAATTATTTGTCTCAAGAGATCAAGTATGGGGTGATGATAGACTTATGCTATGAAGCTGTGGAGGACTTTGGAGAATAAGTATCTGACGAAAAGTGTGGAGAATCGTCTTCATAAGAAGCGCTGGTTCTATATATAGGTTTTAAATGAGACATGTGATTACAATTGATGAACATCTGAATGATTTTGCAAAGCTGTTGGTAGATATTTTGAACCTGGATGAGGAGGTTGGAGATAAAAACAAGATGCTCCTTCTGTTGAATTCACTCCTAGATGAGTATGAAAACTTCACGATGATGCTCATTCATGGAAATGAGGTCTTGAACTATGGTGAGGTGACTACTGCATTGCTAAATCAAGAGTTATGGCGGGACAAGGAGTTTGCAAAGATGAATTTAGTTGAGGCTCTCACACTCCAACAAGAAAGATCCGTGATGCGTACATCCAATGGTGGACGATATTCATAGGAAGGGTCGAAGATCGACAGGCGAGATCACTCCATTTTATTTTAGTTTATTAATTGTATTTTGATTTAATTTTGCATTTTTCCTTTTTTACCCTTTTTATTTAAGAGTCTTGTCTTATGTAAGCCCAATTGACAAATTTGTCTTTCAGTTTCTTTTGAAGCCTATATATAGAGGCCCCTCTCCTGTATTAGGTATGATGAAGTCTTAATAAAAAAATTGTTCTGCACTTTTGTTCTTTGGGAGGACGTTAGTGAGAATTCCTATGGAGGGAATCGTAGTTTCCATCAACCGCAGGATGGGTCCGGGCTCGTGGATTAAAGTCCCTTGGTGAAGGGAAACGCATCACCCGTTAGTCTTCGGAAGAGTCCAAGGCTTGCAGTTCTATCTTTTTTCTTTCTTTCTTTGTTTTGTTTTTCCTTATTTCCCTAAACCACCACCTCCCCCTCCACTCCAAGCCGCCGATCACCTTGTGGCCACCCCTTTCACTAACCCCACCCAACTTCAATCCTAATCACCACCTTTTCCGTTCCATCTTCCCATTGGCCGAGGTCCACCATGGTTCAACCCACTCGTTGGACCACCTCCTTCCCTAGCCCCACTTCCCTCCAAAAATTCCCCTTTTCTTATTTAGGTTGCCATTAATTTGGAAAGATTTTAAATTCAAATTAATCTAATTTGAATTTCAAATCCATCCAAACTCTCTCTTGATTACCTTCATAAATTAGATTTTTTTAATTTGGAAAGTCATTCAATTTTGAATTTAAATAAATTTAAATTTCAAAACCTTTCCAATTTAATAAATTATACAGTATGGAGCCTCCTCCAATTACTCCCAATCTGAAATTAATTTCTGGTTTAATGCCCCCAATCCCATTTAATGCTTGATCCACATACATCGAATGTGGACATTATCTTTCCCTCCACCCATGACCGGCCCCTCCCCTTTTCATATTCTCTCCTTAATTAATTCTCCATCCCACTAATTAAGGCCATTAGCCCCTCTTTCTCTTGATTGGAGCCAATCTCGCTTTGATAGCCTACTTTCCTAAAATATTCTAGATAATTTTGAAAAGAGAATCAATTTGATTTGAATTCAAATTCAGATTTTAAATTCTTTCCTAAATATCTAGGATTAAATTAGGAAATTCCTTAAATTAATCCCAATCAATTTCAAATTAAATTGGAGTAATTATCTCTCTTTCTAAAACTGAAATTCAATTTAGGAGAGCATTAACTCCACCTATCCACTCCCCAAACCCATGCATGCCGCCGGTTTTTCTCTCCCCCGAGAATTCAAAATTCATATGAACGCCCTCCCTTCTCGTTCTACATCAGTTTGGTATCAGAGCATGGTTGCCCGGGATGTGAACTCGACGGAGTCGAGCTCTTTTCCACCTCGGGAGAATGATGCGAACATCTGATGATGGACGATATTCAAAGGAAGGGTCGAAGATCGATGGACGAGATCACTCCGTTTTATTTTAGTTTATTAATTGTATTTTGATTTAATTTTGAATTTTTCCTTTTTTACTCTTTTTATTTAAGAGTCTTGTCTTATGTAAGTCAATGGGCAAATTTGTTTTTTAATTTCTTTTGAAGCCTACATATAGAGGCCCCTTCTCTTGTATTAGGTATGATGGAGTTTTAATAAAAAAAATTGTTTTGCACTTTTGTTCTTTGGAAGGACGTTAGTGAGAATTCCTATGGAGGTAATTGTAGTTTCCATCAGTCACAGGATGGGTTCGGGCTCGTGGCTTGAAGTCCCTTGGTGAAGGGCAAAGCATCACCCGTTAGTCTTCGGAAGAGTCCAAAGCTCGCTGTTTTATCTTTTTTCTTTCTTTCTTTGTTTTGTTTTTCCTTATGGCCACCTACCCCTTCCCCCCCCTCCAAGCCGCCGATCACCTTGTGGCCACCCCTTTCACTAACCCCATCCAACTTCAACCCTAACCGCCACCTTTTCCGTTCCCTCTTCCCATTGGCCGATGTCCACCATGGTTCAACCCACTCGTCGGACCACCTCCTTCCCTAGCCCCACTTTCCTCCAAAAATTCCTCTTTCCTTATTTAGGTTGCTATTAATTTGGAAAGATTTTAAATTCAAATTAATCTAATTTGAATTTCAAATCCATCCAAACTCCCTCTTAATTACCTTCCTAAATTAGATTTTGTTAATTTGGAAATTTCATTCAATTTTGAATTTAAATAAATTTAAATTTCAAAACCTTTCCAATTTAATAAATTATACATTATGGAGCCTCCAATTACTCCCAATCTGAAATTAATTTCAGATTTAATGCCCCCAATCCCATTTAATGCTTGATCCACATACATCGAATGTGGATATTATCTTTCCCTCCACCCATGGCCGGCCCCTCCCCTTTCCATATTCTCTCCTTAATTAATTCTCCATCCTACCAATTAAGGCCATTAACCCCTCTTTCTCTTGATTGGAGCCAATCTTGCTTTGATAGCCTACTTTCCTAAAATATTCTAGATAATTTTGGAAAGATAATCAATTTGATTTGAATTCAAATTCAAATTTTAAATTCTTTCCTAAATATCTAGGATTAAATTAGGAAATCCCTTAAATTAATCCCAATCAATTTCAAATTAAATTGGAGTAATTATCCTCTTTCTAACATTGAAATTCAATTTAGGAGAGCATTAACTCCACCAATCCACTCCCCAAATCCATGCACACCGCCGGTTTTCCTTCCCCCCCTAGAATTCAAAATACATATGAACCCCCCTCCCTTCTTGTTCTACATCAATCTGAGAAGAAGAAAAGGGCGGCAGGAAGTAGGGAAGGTTTTGTGGGCGTAGTTTTGGGAAGAATCAGTGTGCTTTCTGCTTGGAGACTGATCATTGGAAGAAAGATTATCCGAAATTGAAGGAGAAGAGAAAGGGAGTGTCCACTGAGGCTAATCTTAGCATGGAAGAGTATAACATGTGTTTTCTTTTCTTCCAAGCATGAATAAATTTTCTTTCTAGGGATTAGATATATATTAATTTTTGTTGGTTACTTCTTGTATGCAATTATTTGAGTCATGGTTTAAAATTGCGCAATTAGAGGCGCGCCTCAAGGCGCGCCTTTGCGCAATTCAACCAAAAAACGCCTCGAGGCTTACGCAATTTTGGACCTGGATGAGGCGTACGCCTCACCTGGACTGAGGCGCGCCTCTGAGGCGCAATTGCGCAATTCTGGGAGAGGCGTACGCCTCACACGCTAGGTCCCACCCACTTAAAATAAGCCCTCTTCCTCCCTTATACCCGCACAGCCCCCTTCATTTCCGAAAAAACTAGTGCGGATGGGATATGATTTCATTTCATATGTTTTTTGTATTTTGGGAGTTTTGTTAAACTAATATTTTGTGATTTTGTACTTTGGGACATAATTTTATTGCATCTACTTTCTTATTTGCCAATATTGCTATTATTTTCCTGCTAAAATCCTTAATTTTTCATTTACGCAATTCTTTCTTCGTGAGGCTTACGCCTCAGACTGCCTCGAGGCTTACGCCTCGCCTCACGGACGAAAACCGCCTCGAGGCGCAGTTACGCAATTTTAAACCTTGATTTGAGTTTTTGTGTTTATCTAGTTAAACTTGTTTTTTTAATCACTTGTAATTACTTGGCTTCCAATTAGAAGTTCAGGAGATCAATTTCAAATAAAGAGTTGGAGAATGGATTGTGGTGGGTGAAATATCACGATGAATCGTGTGATAGGGATATCTATGTTGAACTCGTGTAATCAATTAGATTTGTTTCACCAAATCAAAGAAATCTATTTGCATTGAAACTATCATTGAGAGATAGGTAGGTTGTGTAGAGAGATTAATAATTTTGTACTCTTTTGAGAGAATGGTAGGATCCATCTTAGATATGATTATAGCAAAATATATTGTATCTAGGGCTGCTACTAAATCTAGCTAAGTCAAGCAGGTGTTTGTTCATGTTTAAGTTAATTTATTATTAGCTTGTTTAAGCTTGGTCAAGCTTGATTCAAGCTTTTCTATTTGTGTTCAAGCTTGATTCATTTAAAATGATAGATATTCATATTTGGTTTATGTTCAGTTTACTTCATGCTTATCGAGCTTAAGAAAAATGAGCATTTTCAAGCTATTGACAAGCTTTACTTTCAAAATATTCATTGGCATAAAAAATTAGCCTTGTCAAGCCTTCAAACAAACAATTATCATAGAGCCTATTTGCAGACATATCTAGCGAGTATCTTCGGGCGGCCATTGAACGAGCCCGTTCATGAATATATCTAGTGAGTGTTTTTGAGTTATCAAACCTGCCTGTTCATAAACAAACGAGCTTAGAAAATATTCCTTTTTATAAATATGCTTGTTCATGAACACTTCATAAACAAATAATCTAACAATCATGAATATTATTCACTAGCAATTTATTTTAATGCAAGAGTATAACATAATAAATAAAATTAATATTTTTTTTGTAAATAAGAATCATTTATTATAATAAAATAAAAAATTATTAGAAAATATATCAAATAATGGTTTAAACCAATATCAGGAAATGTATTTAGTTTCAAACAAACATGAATCAAGCTTCTTAACGATTTTTTTATCAAGCTTTGTATTGAGCTTGTTCCTGAGCTTTAATGATGTTGTTCATGAACATAAACGACTCAAACACATGCCTGTTCAAATTTGTTTATTTAATCATCGAGTATTTAAAAAAAATGTTCAAATTTGTTAGGGATTGTAATACTGTGTGATTGCGTTATAGAGGTCATATACATGTGCTATGCTCAAGACCTAGATGAGATCATGAGTTTTATCTATTGATGCATGACAAGTGGTTTGGAAGAATGTGGTTTTGAGGAATGATGTTGAGTAGGTAACAATTGTAGGATGAATGAGGGTTTGGTGATTGTGAATTTAGTGTTTAGCATGACATGTAGTGGAGAAAACCAATCGCGGCTTGGCGAGGAGTGAGTCTTGAAGCAACTATAGGGTGGTGCAAGCTTAGACTAGAGTAGGATGACACACTTAGGCTCTATTTGAGGGATGAGGGAGAGGCCATGATGGATTTCTTCACATAAGTAGGGTTGGCGTACTTTGGTGTGCTAAAGAAGTTAAACTCATAAGAAATGGGAAAAGGTTGGCAAGAGTGTTGTAGCAACTTGCATGTGGGCTTTTGACCCAAGAGTGGGGAAGGCGCAAGCTTGAGCTAACTCTTAATATTGGGTTAGTCGAGATTTAGTTTTTATTTAATTGAACTAAATTCAAACATTTAAGCCATTATATAGTTAATCCTAGCTTGAATAGAATTCACTTAGTTCAATTATTCATATGATTTACATTTATATTTCAATTAATGTATTATAATTGAATGGTATTAAGCTAAATTAAACTGATTAGCTCCACACTCTATTCTCTGATTACTAGTGATGTACTTGAATGAGGTTTGAATCGGTCTTTAGGATCAAGCGTGCATCCAGTCAGACTATGACTTCAATTTTAGGCCGAGTTAAGCTCGAGTTAAGCAACTGAACTGCTACAAGGATTCATGGCTGACAAAGCTTAAGCTTTAGCTGATTATTGACATGCCCTTAAATGGTGAACCACTTAAATTAGGTTTGATTGAGAACAATTGTAGATACACCATAAACCATCATGATTCATTGGATTTCATTCAGATTAATGCAAATGAAATGAAAATCGCTATAGTAGTCAAGCCATTCGGAACTACAAAATAATTCATATCATATTAGCCTGGTAGCAGAACATAGTTTGCATTGTGTCAACCGATTCTACTAATGTTTGGGGGTCTAATCATTAAGTTAGGGTGACATTTGATTGCATACGAATGAACATTTTCAGCTGTGGGGTGCCACTGAGTTGTCTAGGGCGTATCACAAACTGACTAGTATTCCGTTGGGATGTTTTGGAGATCAACAATGGATAAACAAAATTAAGGACTATTTATGTGCTGAAACCGGGAATTTCAAACGACTGAAATAGGGAATGCAAGAGTTGAATCGACATGACCTGTAGCAGGAAACCAATCTTAATGAGATAATCAAAACATATAGCACCATCAACATATTCTAATCCCAATAATTTATGGTTAGCTTTATGAATCCTTTTTTTTTCATGAATTTCTGCTGACTACCATATGAGATAGTAATTTTATTGTGTAAGTCGTTTTCTACCATCTTGCCTTGTTACTCCTAAGCCATCTTTTTTGTCCTATCCACTTCTTTCACATTAATTTTATCAGCATATCGTTTTTGTATGAAATAACAAATCACTTCAATACATCTAGGTGCCTCATGTTAATATTGTCCTGATTTTCAATATTCATCCAGGTCCGTCCTTTGATGTTCAGGATTCAGATAGATACAATCTGTTTCAAATGCTATGATTTTCAAGAAGATGATGTTGGATAGTTCAGCTACCTCAGGACCCTCGTTATTATGCTCTATTGGCTACTACAGCATATAAATAAAAAAATGCATTTACACATTTTTAACAGCATTGTTCTGCAACTTGTTCATGCCAATTTAGATGTGGTTAACATGTCTTGTCTTTGCATCCATTCCCTTTTGATACATAGAAATGCAACATTCCATCTTTTGATGAACTTGAAAATCAATTTTTTATTTTCTTCACATTTGTTGAAGAGCCTTGAGTACGATCATCATGCAGGATCTGGGGTGGAATCAGTCTTTAGGGGCAAACTTAAAAGTAAAAGGTGTAGAGATTTTTTTTCATATAATGTAAAACAATATGACGGAGGAGCACCCCTGTGGGGGTTTTCGGGGGTAGCGCTCCCAGAACAAATTTTGGTTGTAAAGATATTTTCGGTTTCTTTTTACTATTTCTCTTTGTATTTGGTTCATCGTTCCCTAACAATAACACCTCTTCAGAATGTGTTTAATTATGCTGGGGGAAATTGCCTAAAGACCATAATATTTTAAAACTTTCAGGGGGCAATTGCCAAAAATCCCTTGTAATAACCCCTCTACAAAACGTGTATAATTCTACTAGGGGGCAATCGCCTAAAGATGATAGTATTTTAATTTTTTTAGGAGGGGCAATTGCCTAAAGATTTCTATAATAAAGAGTAAAAAAAATTGGAGGGGGACAAATTACTTAAAAAATCCATGTAATAAACAAATTTTAAAATTTTTTAAGGGGGGTAATTGGCCCCCCTAGACACTTAAGGGTTCCACCCCTGCTACAATGTACCAAATAATATATATATAAATATATATGCATTATGTATATAAAGGATTCTATGCATCTGTTAAACCGTTAATCTTGTATTGTTCTATTAAATTGAAAATGGATGTTAGTAGTTTGATAAACTTCAGAATATTTCCTTGCAAAATTTATCTTAAACTTATATTCTTGCAGATGCTCTCAACTCATAAATGTACTGTATAACTACTGTACTTCCCGGAGAGAACTTAATGCACCAGTCTAAACTCTGCCGTTCAAAATATCTATATTTTTCCAATTGTGTTAGGGCCCGCAAGAAGGAGCTGAAAGTGACAAATAACTAACAGTCCCATTCAGCCTTCGCTCATTAATTGCATGCAGTGTTGCACGCCTTGAATAAATAAATGTTAGGGAGAAAAAACTTGCTGCCCAAGACCTTTAACTACATATCATAGCAATAAAAGTACTGCAATTATTATTATCATGACAATACATGTTAACATATATGTATAATTCTTCACAGTAGAGCAAGTCAGAACTAAAAATAGCCTATTTAATTCCCTTTTTTTCCTTCATTTTTTTCAGACTTCCTTGATCATTCATTTTCTCCAGATTTGCTCCTAGATTTACCAAGTAAAAACAGAGGGATGATAAGTGAGTCGACTCAAGAGCTTCAGTTAAATCTCTTCTTTTCAGGATGAACAGGAAGTTGGCTGTGACTCGACTCATCTAGCTGCCACGCTGAACAATTTTTTTGAAAATAGCAGAAACTGAAGGGATTGAAAGAAAGGGTGACTTAAAGTGGAATGGAAATCACACCTTGGAACTTTGGTACTGAATTTCAGATTTACTAGAACACAGCTGGTGGTGAATTTGAGGGAGATGATGAATTGACCAAATTGAGTATGCTGTTCCAGTAGTTCTTGTTCTCTTCCCCTTCACCCTCACCTTCTTCCACATCCACACAGCTGCCGCCTGCATTGTCAGAATCATCGCAACCTTCTGTTGCGTTCTGCTTATTAGTGTTACCTATTAGCATTCCAGTAAAGCCGGCTGCAAATCCTCCACTGCAGGATCCTGTAAGCCATGAAGTTGCTTCTACATTAGCAAAAGCGTCTTCTGTGTCCAGTGAGAAGCCTGGCCTCCTCAGACATTTCCAGTCTTCCTCCTTTCTATTGCTGCCATCTGCAGTCCCCATGCCTTGGATTCTTGGTGGCAAAGTGTTCTCTGAGAAGCTCAGAGTGGAGGTTGGCGACTCAAGATCAATGATGTGGCTGCTTACTAGGCTATTGGCTGCAGGCTTGGGCCACACACCTTGCCAAGCTCGGAGCGCGTCAAGAGAGGGAGATGCTACTGTTGGCATGGCGACAGGAGGTGGTGGTGAAGGTGAATTTTGTGGAGGAAAGTTCGAGGGAGGAGCACTGCTGCGGAGCTTGGACTCACGTACGAGGCGAGCCTCAGCCTCAAGGCGGGCACTCTCCCATTGGGCCATGTGGTTGAGATTTGCAGTGCTCCTTGCATGGCCGTCGGCGGAGGCAAGGGCATCACTCTTGGGTTTATGTGTCACTGGGTCGATCCCCATCTTTGCTAGCTGCTTCTTTAAATGTGTGTTCCAGTAATTCTTGATCTCATTATCCGTTCTCTTGGGAAGGTGTGTCGCAATTGCGGACCATCTACACAGAAAAAATTATCTGAATTTTAGCAAACATTAATGGTCTAAGTAATCATTTGGTTTTCAAGGGAAATTCACTGACTGACGAATGGTTTCATTTAGAGTTTGATGAGAAACTGAACGCAGAAAGAATTGGAAGCTAAGGACCCTTTGATCAGAGCTACAGAAATTAAACTGTTTTGTCACATTAATTTAAAATTAGGCTTATTATAGGGATATGCAGAACCACAACGAAAGGAATTAATTATGATAAGAGCCCTGCAGGCAAAGATTTGGAGAACAAAAATTTATCAATCAAGAAATTGTGAAAGGCTAATACGTAGTATAATGCAGTACTGGCATGGCATATCTTGTCTATTTTTATTTTTATTTTTTGTTCTTTCAGTTTAGAAGAAAAGTATGCCGATATGTACTCACCTGTTACCAAGCAGAGCATGAAGCTGGATGATGGTCTGTTCTTCCTGCATACTAAACTTCCCCCTCTTGATATCTGGTCTGAGGTAATTTGTCCACCTGAGCCTGCAGCTTTTCCCACATCTTTGAAGCCCTGTTCAAAGAAGAGGCAAACCTTGAATCGGTACTAGAAGAAAAAATTCACATGGATTCTGCAACGGACTCACCAGCTTTGGCTGGCAATGCTCTCCAGCTTCCATGGCCATGCTCCTCAATGTAGGAAAGCAACTTCTGGTCCTCCTCTGGCGTCCATGGCCCCTTCTTCAAGCCAACCTTCTCACAGCAAGGGGATCTGCCCATATTCTTTGGCTTCCAAAGTTGTGACAACAAGGAGATTCTTCTGAAGGTCTCTTATTACAGTATTATCATGGAAACGAGAGTGAAATTCTGCTTATGGGATAAATTGGCCATTAGACTGGGAGGGGAAGGATAAATAGTGACGGAGGGTAGAGGGAATAGCGAAAGGTCAGCAGCATTAATGCCATGTGAGTATTTTTAGTAATATTTACACAGCTATTTTAATCTATGTTTTTTTTTTTAAATTTTGCAGGACAAACAATAATTTTGATATTTTATAAAAGTGGTCATCTTTTGGATATCGGAGTCCTTGCTCGAGGTATATTCCAAGGTAAATAAATGAAAACAGATTATTATCTAAACCAAATAAATCTATACAGTTCCTCACTTCCCTTCTTCAACAATAGCTTTAGTTCCGAAGTCCTCATGGCTCGTTAGTTTTATTTGTGCAGTCTCTGTAAATTGTGAAAAATAATTAGCTTAGCCTTGTTGGGCGCACAGTTGTATATTTAAATTTCTTGCCACTTGACAACCCTTTCATTGATTCTGATTGCCTCAATTATATGAACTAAGGCTCCGTTTAGGACAACTTTCTTATTGCTTCTTAAAACAGTTTTTTGGTACAAAAATTTTTAACAAGCTGTTTTAAGCGGCAGTAAAAAAGCCATCCCAAACGAAGCCTAGAACAAAAAAAAAAAAAAAAAATCTATGCCTTTTTATGGGCAGCCATGCATCAGCTTTGACAGAAATGTAAACTCTTCTGCCCTTGCTCTTCATGGATCATTAAGAAGGGCACAAAACCATCTTGTTTAGCAATTTATCATCGCACAAAATGAATATATGCACTTCTTCGTTTTTTTATTGGTTTAGATGATAATAATCAATGCAGCAATCTATGAGTGATTTATATTATAAAAAAAATATTCATTGTTGAAAGAAAAAGCTTAGTTGGTCAATTCTGAGCTAATTTCATGTTTGATTATGCAATCTGACATCTAAATTATGAGTTTGTTCTAAATCTTTAAGCTTATGTGATGTCATATGATTGATGAACCAGTTTTTTATTGGTAAAAAAAAAAGTTTTACAATCTTACGACCCTAAATCCTAAACCATAAAACCTAGGGGTTTAGTGTTTAGGGTTTAGGGTTAGGGTTTAGGATTTAGGGTTTAAGGGTTTAGGGATCGCGGTTTAGAGACAAACCAAAATGCATCATGTCAGTGATACCGAGCCATCCGAGCCGCAGTATCGTGAGCACGGGTGATGTGACGCATTTTGATTGGTCTCCAGACAGTCATAATTAATTCATTTATTGGGACAAACATGTGCCGGACAATCGCATGATGACACGTTGGTGTGTGAAGGGCTTAGTACTAAGCTACTACAGACCTATCCATCCAGTTAAAGGTAACTACTTTTCAGTAGTGTTTTCTGGTGATATTTGTTTTATATAGAATTGTCTTCAGCAAACACTGGCAAGTTCTTGTTCAGGTTCAATAAATGCGAAAATTTCATCTATTAATTAGCTGCACATGGGACAACTCGGTAGAGATAGATTCCTCTTGACTGACCCCTTTACATCGTCTAAATTTGACAAATTACATGAAGTAATTTGGTCATAATATATTGACTTGGAGGTGTTTTTTTAGTTCATTTCTCTCTTTTTGTATTGGGATGGTTTACCTTGATTGGTTAAAATTGATGACAACCTTATATTCTGAGATATCATCAATAGAGACTTTTGTCTCCTTCAATTTAAAATGGGAAATTATGCTCACTTTTCTTTGGGTGCCCATATGCGATTGACATGGTTAGGGCATCTCCAACCCAAATTCTCATTTTTCACTGCAAAATACACAAAAAGTGCTGTGATTCATCTTCAGTGGAACGTCATTTTGCCCCCAAGTCATCGCTCGCTTCTTTCGCGCCTTTCTCATACGAGTTCAGTAAAGAGAAAGAAATGGCGCAAGTGAATAGTGCGACGTACACTGTTCAACTGAGATCAAATGGAAGAAAAAATGGCGTTCGGTTGCGATGTTTGAGGGCCTCCATTCGGCTGTTTGCCGAACGGTTCGAGATGGTCTTAAGAAGGTTATACAGGAATGTACTATTATTTTTTCGGTATTTCTCTAACAAATTCAGGAGAGTAGCTCAGACCAGGAGCATTATATTATAACTAAAAAGGTTGTACATTAATATGTTGAGATATCATCAGGGGATCTGCATATTATTTGAATATTTGAAGTTTAATTCACTTTAAAAAGAAACTTAAAATCTAATTAATTAGCTTTAAAATAATTTTAAAATTAATCAACTAAAATTAGAAATTCAAAATCTTAAAAAAAAAAAAAAATCTGAAACTTAAATCAAAAGTTTTAAACAGTTGGTTTTAAAACTTAAATAAGAACTTTAGTTAATTTAATTAAAACTTTGCTTTAGTTAAATTAACATGTAACTAATGAACCAATTAATTTAAAGTAATCTGAAGTTTTATTAGAACTAATTAAAATAAAATTGAATCTAAAATTAATTAGTTTAATTAATTTTAAACTAAATTTAAGAGCAAAGCTTAATTAGTTTAAATTGAAACTTTGATTCATTAAAATTGAATATATAAATTATATTATTAAAATCTAAATCTTGATTAAATTCAAAATGTAACCTAAATTAAAATCTATTAATCAATTAATCTAATTAAGCAAATCAAATTTAATTTAAGCAATTTTAAAATAAACTTAAAATCTAAACTAACAAACTTAGCAATTAAATTTTAATTAAAATTAAACTTTTAATCAATCAATCAACTTAATTAATTAATGCAATTAATTAAATCAAGATAAAATATAAAACAAAATATCATAAAAATAATGTTTTCCACTAATCCAACCTAAGTGCAAGCTATAAACGGTCAAGCAATAGCTCTTTAACAGCTCTCCAAACAAACTCTCAACACACTCTCAGTAGTAGCCTCATCAGCATCTGCCGGTGTGCTCTATGAACTCTCTACGCTATCCAAAGTGTTGTAAGTACAATCTACATGCAAGAAAACAAATATAGCATTAATACAATATATCAAATATAACTGGTAATGTAAAACTAGTATTGATAAAAAGAGTTAAGTGCTGAGTAAAACTAACAAGTAAAGCTCAATACCGCAGATAGAACTGGTACTGGAAAGTAAAACTACTACCACAAGCACTACTCAAAGTTTGAGTAGACAATAACTGTTGGCTAGTAAGTGTAAAAAATAATGACTGCAAGCTAGTACTACGATAAAGATGACAAAACAAGATGCTGACATTGGTGCCGAGAGAGTGAAGTGTGTGAAGTTATGTTCTCACTAATCTAGGCCCCCTTAGGCCACTTCTAATATAAGCAGTAAATCCTATGGGTAGCAATTTCATTAAGTATATATACTAAATGAAATAATATCTATTCCTGAAATTCATCCGGTCACTTTCAATGAAAGCCTTAAGTCTGACTTTTAAGGGGAAATGTCCAGGTAATAACATAACCCTAGACCCATCTAACGAGCATCTTAGCCTATAGACCTAAGTTGTAAGCCCCTCTATACGGGCCACTAGACTCGTCATTAGGCAACTTCTAAATCTAGAAGTCATAAGACCTATCTATCCTAATAACCAAACAATTAGGCATCTTAGCCTATAAGGCTAAGCTGTAAGACCCGTTATATGGGTCACCTCTAATAGAGGACGTAAGACTCGTTAGTAGAGCTAATTTTAACTGAAAATTGTTAGCCCCTCCCAAATCTAATCACACGAGATACTTTCAAATGAAAGCCTTAAGCCGTGGCCCAAATCCAGTATGAGCAACTTCTAAATGGAGCCATAAGTACCAACCAAAACTAAGTAATGAATATATATCAACTTCATTTTACTTGGGATCCATGAGATGGGGCAACTCATAACTACTAATCAGATTTTCTGGACACTACGATTAATAGTCACTAATGTTATTGGTAGACTAAATCCTACGGTATTCATGGGATGACATAATCATGAGATCTTGGTCGGGTCTACCTTCATCCCCCACAGTCAAGGTTTAGAGTATTCACACACTGTTGCAAACATATCTGTACTTCATGAACAGTCTAATTATAATTTCATCCTTAATCTAGAGTGCTATGCTATACGTTAGAATTGAAGGGGAAATTAACTATGAGGGCTTGTGCTCATAAAAAAGGTAGGATTCAGATTTAAATAAATATTGACACTACTCTCAGTGGAAATATGGTTAATTTAAAATTCAATTTACCTCAAAAAATAAGGACCTTAAACTTGTGAGAGCGAGGTTTGCACCTATTTTTCATGAGCAAACAATCATCACTCCCCCCACCATTCATTTTAAGAGCAAGATGGTGAAATTTCTAATTTTAAATATCAAAATTTCAATTGCTAAATCATGTTGCAACTATAAGCCATATACTATATATCTATTTGAAAACTAGCCTTAATCGAAAGTTCTCTCTCATTATCGGGAGAGTTAATTAACTATAGGGGGCTCACGCCTATAGGAAACTTGAACTCAGATCATAAAGTCCTTTCAAAATGAGGGTGAAATCTCTGGGTAATGTCTTATTTAAAACCAATATGTCTTCTGAAAAATTTCCTCGTAACTTATTTATTAAAACTCTCCTCGACGACCCGAAAGGAAAGAAAGGGATCCACGGGTGAGGCCGGGCGGGAATTTTCGGAGTTCACATGAATGTTGTTTGATAGCCTTCTTTTTGTGGCGTGTGTGTGTGTGTTTTGTTATATGGATAGAGGTTTCTCAACATTTATAGTTTTTCTTGGTCTACTGAGTTGAACTTTATGCAACTATATAACCTTCATGGATTAGCGTTAGTCTTGCTTTATGCAAAATCTACTTTATATTAATTTTTGTACTGCATGCTATTTTTTCTTGAGCTCTCCTATAGTAAAAGATTAGCCACCTTCATTGTTTATTTTTTTAATTCTATTAACCACAATCTTGTTATTTTGGGTGGGCATTGATCAATGATGTTGAAAGCTCAACTCAATCATTCTTTTTGCCTTATGATGACCATCCATCTCCTTAAATTTTTAATGCATTATATATATAATAAATACATTAACAAGTCATTCTTATTTGACATTTTTAATAAAAAAAAATCAATTTTTATCCTCTTTAAAAAAATAAAAAAAAATTATATGTCCTGTCAAAAAAACTTTCTGCGTCCATAAGCGATCAGTAATGTTTATTGCCTGCTTATGTACAGACTGATTAGTTATAATTTTCGAAGCTATACTCATATGAGGCCTTGCCACTATAATTTTCATTCTTATCAAGTTATGAAGGTAGAGATATTCACATATTATATGCCATCCATCCAATAATCTTATAGCTTTTATTTGGAGTTATGGGTTGGACACTGTTGCACCGCTCTTTTGTAGCAGCTTCAATGGGGTCCTAATTTAGGGAAATTATCTCACCTAATCAATGTTTAATAGGTAAGCGACTTTCTAATTTATTAAAGACAATGATGATTTGATTACTATCATAT